TCATGGTCCTGACAAAGTGTTGTTATTTTTCGGGTCAATCAGAAATACAATTTGGCTGCCATGGCCGCTATTTTGCTACTAAGTTCTAATAGGCCGATCTCACTTAAAATTGGTCTAGGAATGATCAGCTCATGGTCCTGACAAAGTTAAGTTAACATTATACTATTTTTTACTCAAATTGGTACATATTTCAACAACAAAAATAAATACTATAGACTCAGGTGACCGTTAAGGCCCATGGGCCTCTTGTTAAACATTATATTACACCCCCCACCCCCCTAAGGTTTGATAAGGTATTATAAGGTATTATATTAGCGTGTCCGTCTTGAATGTTCGTTGCAAATGAAACATATCAGCTTAAAAAAATTCTGGGGAGAACCCTGTAAAGCTACGATTCTGTGTATAATTTTGTAAAAAAGGATAATTCTAGTGTATAAGCGTCGTGTTTGTAGTGTTGGCCATTGAAGTGTGTGGATCATGTCTGTTACGGAACTAGTGTTGTGGTATCTGTTTTGTACGTAGCGTGCTGCTCTTCGTTGTGTTTTTTCTATTTGTTTAATTTGGTTTGTGTTGTGTGGATCCCAAATGGAAGAGCAGTATTCAAGTTTAGGCCTAACTAGTGCTTTGTATGCATGTTCTTTTATATGTGGTGAGTTTATTTTCAGGTTGCGTTTGAGAAAACCTAGGGACCTATTGGCATTGGCTGTGATATTGTTTATGTGTTTGTCCCATCGTAGGTTGTTTTGTAGTGTTAGTCCTAAGTATTTGCTTGTTTCTACTTTGTGTAATGTGTGGTTGTGGAGTTTGTAATCATGGTGTATTTTGTTGCGTTTCGGTGTAATGTTAAGTATGTTACATTTGTCGGGGTGAAATTGCATTAACCAGTCTGTCTCCCATTGTCCTGCTGCATCGAGGTCGTGTTGTAGTTTTAATGTGTCTTCTTTGTTGTTTATTGTCTTGTATATTATGCTGTCATCTGCAAATAGTCTAAGTGTGCTGTATTTCATGTATTCGTGGAAGTCATTTATGTAGATGAGGAAGAGGATGGGGCCCAAACAGGTTCCTTGAGGGACCCCAGAGGTTACTTGTATTTTGTCTGATTGTTTGCCCTCAAGTACTACTGTTTGGGTGCGAAATGAAAGAAAGTCTGTAATCCATGCGTGTGTGTTCCCTGTTATCCCGTAGTATTTGAGTTTGTATTGTAGTCGTTTGTGTGGGACTTTGTCGAAAGCTTTGGCAAAGTCCATAATGATGATGTCTGTCTGTTTGTTGATGTTGTTGTTTGATGCGAGGTCGTGTATGAATGTGGTGAGCTGTGTTTCACAGGATCTGGAGGATCTAAAGCCGTGTTGTAGGTCATATAATATGTTATTGTTCTCCAGGTGTGTCATTGTGGCGCTTGTTATGATGTGTTCCATAAGTTTACATGTGATGCAGGTAAGTGAAATTGGTCTGTAATTTGTTGGATTGTACTTGTCTCCTTTTTTGTATACTCGGTTGACGTTTGGGTGTTTCCAATCTGATGGTAGTGTTCCTGTAGTGAGTGAGCGGGTGAAGATTTTTGTGAGAATGGGTGCTGTGATGTCACTTAATTCTTTGAGTATTCTGCCGTGTACATTGTCAGGTCCTGGTGCTTTATGTGGGTTGATTTTATTGAGTAGTTTATAGATGCCTTGTTCTGTAATGTGTATTTCTGGCATGAGAGGGTGTGGAGAAGGTCCTTTGTCTGGTATGGGGCAGTCCTGTTCTGTGGTGAAGGCAGATTCAAATTGTTCGTTTAGTATGTTTGCCTTGCATGTAGTGTCAGTTATTAATTGTCCGTCTTTTCTTAATGCGGTTATATCAGTGTTTTCTTTTCTTGTGGTTTTTATGTAGGAGAATAGTTTTTTGCAATTGAATTTTTTGCTAGGCGAGGGTGTGCTGGGTTCGTCTATTGGTAGGTCTTTTATCATTTTTTCTATGTAGTTAAGATAAGCATTACGTGTTTGTTTTTGTAGTTCTGATTTTGCTGATTTGTATTTCTGTATAAGTTCATGTTTTGTTTTGCTTTTCATGTGTAATTGTTTACATTTTCTCATGAGTCGAAGGAGAGAATGTGTTATCCAAGGAAGTTTGGATTTGTATGTGATGTGTTTTTGAGGGATATTTTTGGTGACTGAATTAGCAAGTGTTGTTTTGAACATGTTCCAAAGATTGTCTGCAGTTTGGTTAGGTTGTTCGTTTAGTTTTGTGTTTAGAAGTGTGAGGTCGTTTCTTATGTTGTTCCAGTCAGCTTTGTTGTAGAGGTATATGTTTCTAGGTTCTCTTCTTATTCTTTTCAGTCGAACGTCAATTTCAGTGTAGATTATGTCGTGGTCCGATTTACCTATAGGTGGTGTGGTTTCAGTCTTGTTAATGATTGATGGTCCGTTTGTAAGTGTCAGGTCGAGTATGTGGTTTCCTCTGGTGGGCTTTGTCGTTATTTGTGTGAGGGAGTTGTTGTCTATGATGTCCAGAAGGTGCTGGTGGAGTTTTTGTTCTTGTTGAGCTAAGGGTTGTTTCGCTTTAAATCCTGTTCACCCTAGGTTGTTTCGTAATACTGTGATACGTTAATATAATATTTCAATATATCAACTAAACTTATTGATGACTTTCTTCATTGGTGTTAGGTATATTTCATGTAGAGTATGTGAGAGCGGAGTTAGCTTTTCACAGCTGCCGTTTGTCATACACACTTATAGAAAACAATTAAGACCAAAAAAAAATGATTTTAATGATATGGAAGACTAAGAAGACTTAATTTTTTACTTAAAACTACTAAAATTGAAAGAAAATACCCTAATGATTTTTAGGGCGAAACAACCTGGGTCGAACAGGATTTAGGGCAAAAAAACGTAACCAAAAAAATTATATATAATGATACAATTGCAGTGGAACTGAAATGGGTCGATTGTAAGCAACAAGGTCGTGTCCCGGGTTCAAACCATATCATCATCTGGCTATGCATTTTTAGGTCACCTGAGCTTTAGCTCAAGTGACCTATTGCTACCCGTCTTCGTCAATTGTCCGTTAACATTTTACAATTTCAACTTAAGCTGAAATACTGGCAAAGGGATTTCATTAATATTTCATGGGAAGGTTACTGACATCTCACTGACCAAGTGTTGTTATTTTTCGGGTCGATCAGAAATCCAATATGGCCGCCATTTTGAAAAACTATTTCAAACGTAAAGTCGAGTTCTGCTGGGCCAATTGAACTGAAACCTGGTAGGAATGATCGACTCATGGTCCTGACAAAGTGTTGTTATTTTTCAGGTCTATCAGAAATCCAATATGTCCGACACAGCCGCCATTTTTAAAAACTATTTCAAACTTAAAGTCAAATTCTGCTGGGTCGATTGAACTTAACCAGGTAGGAATGATCGACTCATGGTCCTGACATAGTGTTGTTATTTTTCAGGTCGATCAGAAATCCAATATGGCCGCCATTTTGAAAAACTATTTCAAACTAAAAGTCAAGTTCTGCAGGGCCGATTGAACTGAAACTTTGTAGGAATGATCGACTCATGGTCCTGACAAAGTGTTTATTATTTTTCGGGTCGATCAGAAATCCAATATGGCCGACACAGACGCCATTTTGAAAAAACTATTTCAAACTTAAAAACAAGTTCTAATACGCCGATTTAACTGAAACTCTGTCTAGGAATGATCAGCTCATGGTCCTGACAAACTTAAGTTAACGTTATGCTTAGCTATTTTGTACTCAAATTGGTACATATTTCAACAACAAAAATAAATACTCATATTTCAACAACAAAAATAAATACTGTAGGACTCAGGTGACCGTTCAGGCCCATGGGCCTCTTGTTCCGCTCCTACTTCATTTGGTGCATGTGACTCGGTGAATGCTTAACAAGGGGATACCTTGTTACCTTGTAAATTGCAATTTTTTTTCGAGGTGAATACTGTATTGGGTCGATTGTCTAGGACACAAGGATTTACCCAAAGCACCAAGAATTACCAAAAATAACTCAAAAACACATCCAAGGCCCATTTACTTATAAATGAAAAATGTAAGCGATTACTATAAAAGCATAATATTTCGTTGGGGATTTCATTTTGTTTATTTCGTGGTTTTATAAAAACCACAAAATATAATCCCAACAAAATTTTAAGCTCACGAAATATAAACTAAACGAAAATATGAAATAAACTATTAATTTGATTACAAACCCATGCTGTATTTACATTTAGGCCAAACAAAATATATAGTCTGTTTAGGGTTGCATTGGCAAAAAAACTAGGGTAGGTAGGTTGGATATTGTTGTTTTTTTTTGTTTTTTTTTTTGTATATTTTTGGTCATGTGATTATGACCCTACTATTGTATGTAAAACAAAGAATTACATAAACAAGGTTCATTTGGAGGCTAATTGTGCTCCATATGCCAACACGGAGCTGGAAGCCATTTTGAAAGGCAAGGAACCTTCTAAAATTCGAAAATCTGCGGGTTTTTAAAAAATGATTTATTTTTTTTTCATCAAAAAGTTTTGTGTTGGGGGTAAAAAGCTAGGGTCGGTCGGGAACCCTAAACAGACCCCCTTTTTTTTGGCCTTAGACACAAGTCATGATAAACAGTGTAATTATCGTCACAGGCACAGGGGTACCCTGGTATACAGTTATAACAATAGCGTGGCAATCAGTGTAAATAAAGCAGTCATCATCAGTTGTTTAAAACAAAAATGTTATATTTGGATTGATTTCCGGCACAATGCTGTCAGGACGGCATGTCCCTATTTTGACACTTTTTCAACAGAGTAACGGGGAAATATATTTCAAATGCAATAGAGAAATTATTGCTTAAATGATTAAAAACACACGTCTTCCTTCTGGAGTAATATTTTCAATGAAATCAGCATGATTTTCTCATATGACGTGTAAAGGTAACCGTGATGCATGCTCATTTTCTTATCAGAAGTTCTGTTATAAAATTAAAAAAATAATATTATTTCCATTTTAGATAGCTGTTAACTACCACACTTGTTTGTTTAGACTAAATTATATGACCATTGAGCGATGTTCAATCTATTGTTTTTCATTGACTGGGGTGAAGCGGGGTGTGAAAAATTCAGCTGGCGACGTAGTGGACAGGTGATGTACAGTAAACCGGACCTATTGTCCAGGTGTCAAAAAAAATAATGAAAAAAAATTGATTCAATTAAATATAATCCCAACGAATTTATCCCAAAACAAAAACAACGAAATTTAACCCCAATGGAAATATATGCGTTTACAGTAAGTTAGTTCATAATTTCTAGTAGTCTTGCTTGAAAATAAAGACAGTGTTATGCTTCCAGTAAAAGGGGAAATAGAGAATATGGTAATAAATGGTTTGTACGTAGTGTACTTCATTAAATTAATTGACAAATAGAAAAGAAAATGTGAAAACCTGTTATAGACATGTGAATGAAATATCAGGTTACACTTACAGGAAATTCAACGTGATTTTAGCTCTTTAGGTGTCTATATTACAGTACGAGTCTTTCTTTAATTATATCTGTATATGGTTTTTGATAAAAATGATAGAGTATTTGCATACAAGGATATTTAAAATAGTTAACTAATTTTTAGCTGAAAACTATCATTAAGGTGTTTTTGTGGATCATTTTGGGTAAATCATCTTGCCGATTGTATGTGACCAGGTAGCCCAAGTGGTAGAGTGTGCATCTAGAGTTGAGGGTCCCAGGTTTGAATCCTTGGCTGGCCGTTGCATTTCTCTTTCTCCTGTTACACAATGCTAAATTTACTCCCTATAAGATGCTTCAGTTTGCTACTAGTATATGCATCGCAATCACAATGGAAAACTGGGCTAGGTTGATAGCCGGTGACCTGGTAGCTCAATCGGTTTGATCATCTGCCTACATTTTGGAGAGTCTGGGGTGTATGACCTGGTCTGGCAATGTATTTTTCCTTTTCTGCTACAATTACATGCACAAATTAAATAATCCAACATTGACTGGTATGCTGCGGGAATAACCAATGATGTGTATGATTTGCAGAGTCACAGAATTCTTGGTTCTCTACAAATGAGATTCAGCTGCCTATTATTTTGACCTCACTAATCTTTATTTTCAGATATGTAGTGATTGGTGATACAGAAATACTTGTACAACAATGGGGATAGAGGAGGGATATGTAAGAAGGTACAAAAAAGGGGACGCTATCCCAGATGGGGCAATCTTCTTGGAGAAAGATGAAATTTCCAAAATCCAGAAGAAAAGGCTGGAATTACTAAAGAAGGAAAAAAAAAGTTCTGTGTAAGTAAATGTTTGTATCAGAAAAAATAACAAATTTGTATTGACCTTAAAAGACCCATTATGAACATTCTCTGGAAGGGCTTTGTAAGTTGTGAGATCTTGTGTCTAATCCCTTTGATTGATATTTTAACCAATCAGATATGTTTAAATATAAGCATATGCAGTTAAAAGCACAATCTATTGGCATCACTTGTAAGCAAATGAAATCATCACCTGATAGACTCTCAACACTTCTCAGTAAACGTTACTAAACACTATTTCAGAACAATTATATTGGTCAGTGGAATTTTAATAGACTAAGATGTCTGAAGTTTTTTTCCTTCTTTTTAGGTAACACATCTAAATATATGCAAACATGAATGTTCTCTCACTTGACATAGGTGACTTGCCAATAAAACGAGTCATACAAGACTCGCTTGTTTACATTTGAACGTGTCCCAAAATGATTGGTTTAAACCTGTGAGATTTATCGTTACATTGCAGATATGATGGAATTCAGATTGCTGTTGGTCTATATTCCCAGATGTATATATCTGTATTCTATATTTCAGGCTACAGACGTGGTAGAATTCAGATTGCTATTGGTCTATGCTGTCTTTGCTTATTGCAGAGTTATCTTCTCTTGTGAGCAGGTATTGATTGTTACGTCATTTGTTTGTGAGAGTAACGTCATCAATTTTTGAGAAAACGACGTAATTTTCTCACACACCCCAATGAAATAACAATCAATTCCTGCTCACAAGAGAAGATAACTCTGCAATACGCAAATACGGAATATTCCCAGATGAATATATCTGTATTCTATATTTCAGGCTACAGACGTGGTAAAATTCAGATTGCTATTGGTCTATGCCGTCTTTGCTTATTGCAGAGTTATCTCCTCTTGTGAGCAGGTATTGATTGTTACATCATTTTGTTTGTGAGAGTAACGTCATCAATTTTTGAGAAAACGACGTAATTTTCTTACACAAACCAATGACGTAACAATCAATGCCTGCTCACAAGAGAAGATAACTCTGCAATACGCAAATACAGAATATGCCAGATGTATATATTTATATTCTATATTTCAGGCTACAGACGTGGTAGAAATCAGATTGCTGTTGGTCTATATTCCCAGATGTTGATATCTGTATTCTATTTTTCAGGCTACAGATGTGGTAGAATTCAGATTGCTGTTGGTCTATATTCCCAGATGTTGATATCTGTATTCTCTTTTTCAGGCTACCGTTAATCTACGCCCCAGCTGTAATGGCCACCGCAACCTCAACTGGTGGCTTATACTTTGCTCATCACTTTAGACAAGTATTCAAACTAGGTACTTCAGGAAAAGCGGGTTTAGGATTATTTTTTACCAGTTTGGTGCTACCAAGTGGCCTGATATTTGGACTTTACTCAAAAATGATTGTACCATCTGTGATTAAGGGAGAGGTGGATTGCCGAATTTGTTTCGAAACAAAACTTGGACTTCTTCAGCTAGTCCTGGGTGTTGCATACCCTATATCCCTCAGCTGGTTGTTTTCTGCAATGGAAGCCCGGGCACTATTCACCTATCCTGTCCCGTATTATGGATCAAAAAGACCAGAATTCATGACCTTTTTTCGAGAAACAGTACCAAAGGCAACCCCAATGAGTATGGTTGTGATAGGGAGTATGTCAATAGCTATGGCGGTAGGAAGTCAAATGCAATCTTGTTATGAAGAAACATTTCTAAATGAATGTGATTCAATGCTTGTACAAAAGCGAGATTTTTATGGGAGGAGTGATCAATAAACTGTTTTATGCAATTCTTGATATAGACAGACTAGTATGTATTTGTGTGAATAAATTATGTTTGTGACATTGATTTTTTGGTTCAATGTCTTTAAAGTGACGTCACATACATTTGTTTTAGAATTGAGCATTTCCATTTACAGGGCAGAGTGTGAAAGCCTTACTTGCTTATATAATTAACAACAAATAAAGACAAAGCATTTCATCTGACGCATTTAAAAAAAATATTGCAGTAATAAAAAATATTGAAGTTCAAATCTAAAAATATATACATGTACACAGGGCATCTAAAGCAAGAAATACATTATATTTATAAATTTACAGAAACTTTACTAAAGTCCTTTTTTTTGAAAATTGATTTTTACACACCCGTCATCCGACGGGTCGTGTATTGGTATGGGCTATGTTGTCCGTCTGTTCGATAACTTTTTTCCTTGTCATTGCTCTCCTGCCTTAATTCATTCCTGAACATATCTGGATGAAATTTGGTACACATATTGCATACCAATAAAGCTCGGAAAAGTTCGCATTTCGGTAGTTTACATTAATTTTTAATGGAGTTATCCCCCTTTTATTTCCAAATAAGGGCAATGTGTAATAAATTCAAGAACTCTTTTGTTTTTTAATCAATTCCTTTTAAATTTGGTATGGTAATGCTAGAAGCAATAATGTTCAACATAGATTACAGGTTTTTCTATCGAGTTTCAACTTTCTGCGTTCTGGCGTATCCATCTTGACATAGCATCACTGTACTTTCATTGCCAAATAAGGGCAATGTGTAGTAAATTCAGGAACTTTTTTGTTTTTTAATCAATTCCTTTTAAATTTTGTATGGTAATGCTAGAAGCAATGGTTATGTTCAACATATATTGCGGTATTTTCTGCTGAGTTTCAATTTTCTGTGTTTTGGCGTATCACACTTGACATAACAACACTACTTCATTTTTGCTGTTAACTTTTCTTTGTTTACATGATAACTCAAACAATTGTTCTCTGAACTTTATTAAACTACTTGGTTGTTTCATAACCTGGATGCCTTGAATGAGTTCTGAAATCGTGACATTTAAACACTATTTGGCAAAGTTATGCCCCTTTTTCATTGCCAAATAAGGGTATTCCATCGAAAATGCAAGAACTTTTTATTTATTTGTTGAATTCCTTTCAAATTTAGTATGGTAATACAAAAACCAAACATGTTCAACAAATATAACAGGTTTTGTTTAGCCTTCCAACTTCTCATACCAAGACTCCTACCTCAAAACCATGGTTCTAGTTTTAGTAATAACAACATTGACCACGAAAGTGTAATTCTGAAACACAAAATAGCCTGCGCCATAAACACAGTAAATGAATGGCAAGGTCACAGTCACCAACAAAACAGTGGCAGTAAACACATATATATGTCACTACCTGCTTCAATATATCAATACCCTTCTGAGGGTCTGACGCAGAAGGGTCTGACGGGCGTATCATGCTTCCGCTCGCACTGCTCTTGTTGCATTTACCAAGCCCAGAACTAGTCAACCCTCGAATAATACCTGCTGTACATAATCTTTTTTAATTAATTGATGACCAGGTAAATAAAATGTTAAGATATGGTTATAGTATTAGGAAAATGTTTAAATGCTAAAATACGCAAAACGAAATGTTGAAGCGGGTTGCTAAGATGGTAACTTCAGTATATGGTTGCTTGGGTAATACAGGTACTGTGAATCTACATCTATATATATGGGTAAATTTCAGAACGAAGCTGCCATTATTTGTGTTGCCGTCAAAGAAATTTGAAGGAGCATCAATAGAATAGAAGATTAGACATAATGGCCTCCTATATGTTCCTTGTATCTAGATGTGCAAGGAACCAGTCAGTAGTTGTCTTCGGACTGTTATCTCGCTGAAGCGTGGATGTCGCCATACTTGAAACACATGTCAATCCGCTGTTTTTTTTTTTTTACTGCATATATCCTACTTTGCACACTGTCGGAGTTTACTAAACTGAAGAAGGGAGAGATGTTAAAATTTATATCATATGTATCTTTCTTGTCATTTGGAAGGCTTTTGGAAAAATATGATATAAGTTATGAGTTAATTCACAATAACAGAGTTGGTATAGAGGGATTTTATGGTGTTGAGTGTCACCAGCAAGCACTAAATAAATATTGCGACATATAACTATGACACACTCCATATTGTGATCTGTAATGCTAAGTCATATCAACAAAATCTCAAAAAGAGAATGTAATGACTGAATGAGAAACCTTGTTTTATTTCACATTATTGTAACACACAATTTTCAATACTGCCAAAAATTCTGATTTACAGCTTGAAAACTGGACTTGGGTGTCCGACATGATATTGTAAGGGCATGAACTATCGTACAAGTAAGTTTGTTTCCATTCGTAGAAACATTGTACCAACATTGAATAGCGGACATGCTGTGTGGTTTTGCGCTATCCTCCAGGGATTTAGCGTGTCATCCTACTGACCATTTACCGATGTTTCATGAAGTCTACCGAAAATGATACTGCATGATATGTGGCAAATCATACATCAAATTAAAGAAAAAAATGTTTCCTGTCGATCTACTCTGCTCCCGGCGTCATACTATAAACGGTTATGACAAAATCGCATGTTTTCTGGAACTGGGTCATTTTACTAGGGGGACGGAGTTGGCAATTAACCTTGATCATATTATAGGTGTATTGACGGACGAGGCTAGTACCTGTGATCAGTTCTGTAACTCCTAGGAACACTTCAGGGCATGGAGATATTTCTGAACATATAAAGTAGGGTTTTGTCCCCGATTTAGAAAGTTAAATCCAAGTCAAAAATTACGTTTACCGATAGTGTAGTGTAGTTTTGTATCAATGGCTGATGGTGACACAGGGACCTGAACATTTCTTACAGCTATATTTGGACCTTTATATTTTGGGTCCAAATATAGCTGTAACAAATTCTCTGGTCCCTGTGGGTGGGGAGAGGTTATTGATTATCAATGGTCCCACTTCTCTTTTTCTTTCATGTACAGCATGGTCAAGATTTGTAGATCCAAGTTTTCTTACCCCCAACCTCCATTAAAAATAGGATTCGGGGATATAGTGTTACCACAGACTTAGATATCAATCTAATTCCGTGGTGTTACCAATGTCCATCTCATCCCGGCCTGTCTCATCGTGATTCAATTCGCATATAACCGAGTTCTTTTCTTAACAGATTTTCATCAAATTCTACACAAAGGTTATATATCAAGGTCACTGTTCCTATTTATACTCATCCGTTGCTATTTTATCAATAGATTCATGGTCATAAGTCATTTACTGACTTCAAGGTCAGGGTCCACTACGTCTTAAAAGACGTGTCTATATTAAATAAATAGGCCAAAGCAACCATTCAGTTCCCTAAGAGTAATTATGCATAGGTAATCATGGAATCACAAGGTTGAAAAAGAATCGCAAAAAGAAGTAAATTAGAGTCCATTAAGATCATGATGGTAACCAAACAAAAATTGGTCTATATTCTTCTTCGACTTGTATCTTTGGATTTGTCTATATTCTTCATCGACTTGTATCTTTGGATTTGTCTATATTCTTCATCGACTTGTATCTTTGGTAACTGTGTTTGTGTGTCAGCCATCCTTTCAGTCATGGTATTTAATGTGAGCTCTTGTATACGGAATCAACTAGGACATGTAAACGTCATAGGTTGAGGAAGCAGGGATGTTGCTGTCAAGAAAGGAATGGAAGTAAAGATGGAGTAAAGCGGCATGTCCTTAAATGACCACAGCTATTAATAGGACGTAAAACACAAACAAACCAAACAACAGTTCTGTTCTGTGATTCTAGATAACGTCATGTTTACTCATGTCCTAGACCAAAGTGCATCAGTAATACATTTCGTTTAAAATGTTTGCCTTTACCAAAAACCCGTGCTGGTGCCAAACAAAAAAAGGATTGATGAAAACAGATTGTTTCAAGTTTCATTAAGGTTTATTTAAATCACATTGAACAGTTAGGAAAGCTGAACCTTTCTTGAATCAGTTAAACGGTAATTATCATCACACTTGCTACCAGGAGATTCAAAATTGTGATCATCTCTTAATGCCTTCCGACCAGGGATTGAAGATAAGAAAAAATGACCATAAGGGACAAATATTTCTGAGCGAACAACGATCTTGGTTCGCAGTACACTCCTCCGTTCATCCTGTTTCGGATATGGTATGTGGAACTCGTTTTATCTTTATTTATTACCTGCCCGAAGGGCAAGTGAGCTTATGTCGTGGTGCGTTGTCCGTCGTCCGTCGTCCGTCGTCCGTCCGTCCGTCCTCGTCCGTCAACTTTTCCTTTAAACAACTTCTTCTGAAGAACGGATAAGCCTAGAGTCATGATATTTTGCTGAAAGCTTTGTTGGTAGTAGCCCAACAAAGTTTAAGAACGAAAATGACCTTGACCTACTTTAAAGGTCACAGGGGTCAAATATGTCAAAAACTTCAAACGACTTCTTCTGAAGAACTAAAAGGTATAGAATCTTAATATTTGGCTGATGGCTTCCTGGGATGGAGCTTAACAAAGTTTGAGAATGAAAATGACTTTGACCTACTTTCAAGGTCACAGGGGTCAAATGTGTCAAACACTTCAAGCAACTTCTTCTGAAGAACTGAAAGGTAAATATTCTTTATATTTGGCTGGTGGCTTCCTGGGATAGAGCCCAACAAAGTTTGCGAATAAAAATTAGTTTGACCTATTTTCAAGGTCACAGGGGTCAAATATGTCAAAAACTTCAAACGACTTCTTCTGAAGAACTAAAAGGTATTGAATCTTCATGTTTGGCTGATTGGTTCCTGGGATGGAGCCCAACAAAGTTAGAGAATGAACATTTCCTTGACCTACTTTCAAGGTCACAGGAGTCAAATGTGTAAAAAGCTTCAAATGACTTCTTCTGAAGAACTGAAGGGTATAGAATCTTTATATTTGGCTGTTGGCTTCCTGGGATGGAGCTTAACAAAGTTTGAGAAAGAAAATGACTTTTACCTACTTTCAAGGTCACAGGGGTCAAATGTGTAAAACACTTCAAACAACT